CCTTTGCTCCGTCATGGCGTCAGGTGTGAGGTTGAATCGAGTGTGGCGGTGGAGGAAGTTTTAGTATCAATTGGCTTTATGCACAGCTGCACTACTTCCTGAAATTAAGCCAGCTCCTTTTCTTCCTGTCTTCCATTATTAGACAAATTGATTAGTTCAGGTGTGCCTGACCTCAGTAGTCACGGCAACGGCAACAATAATCAGACACACCTGAATTAATCAAGCTTGGCCAATAATGGCAGACAAAGAAAAGAGCTTGCTTAAGTTCAGGAAGTAGTGCAGCTGTGCATAAAGCCAATTGGAGAACAAGTTGGATACGAGAACATTTCTTCGGCATCAAGAATGAATAGAGCTGTGGTGGTTTTCTTGAAGGAGGAGAATTTTGTTAACCGTCTAGTTAGTAAGCAGTGGAATTTCGGTAAGTGGACTTTTTGTATCTATTTCTCCGCTGGTTCACCCGACTTGAAAGGTGATCATTTAAAACGTGCCTCTGTTCATTCCTGATGATGAAATTGAGCGTGCACTTTTATTGTACGGGAAGTTTGCTAGTACGGTAAAAACTATTCCACTCTGATGCAAAAACACTGTTAAAACATGTTATGTCGTTCAGTAGACAGGTGGCAATGTTTCTGAAACAACCTGAATTGGAGGTGTCTTTAGAGTTTCACATGAAGGGAAGACATACATGGTCTAGCATAGGCAGTTTAAAGTGCTTCAAATGTGGAGATGTGGGACATAAAAGGTTGAAATGTCCTCATAAGGCTGGTAGTAGTGGTGTTAATAATGTCGTCACTCCGGCCGAAGATTCAGAGGACAGTGAGTCTAATTCTAATCAAGAGCAAATGATTCCTACTGTAATCCCTGTTGTGATTCACACTGTTGATTTGGAGGTAAGAAACGAATCCAATGAAGAGCAAATGATTCAAAATGAAATTATAGAAAGTGATGACAGTGTTGTTGCATCATGTGCTAAGGTAGATCATGGGAAAGGGACTTTTGACAATACTGTTGCACTTGAGGAAAGCCATGGATCAGAATGTAAGGAAAGTGAGGATGTTCAGATGAAAGAAGTGGCTACCATGGAGGTGAATGAGATGTTGAGTCCTCAGATGGTTAGGGAGGAAGAATTAAGGGATGAGGATACCCTTTCGGATATTTCTGAGATTGGTTCTCACAATCTAGAAGAGATGTACTGTACTCATTAGATGAGATCAATGTTTTTTTGGACACAACATTTGGTAAAGTGGTAGAGGTGAAAGATTTTTTTCCCAGATGTGGAAAAAATTGTTTTTTCTGTGAAAGTACTGCAGCGCACAGCGAGTTATGATGTATTGAGTAAACAAAAGAGGTTTAGATTAGATTAAAGAAACGTGTTACGAAATTGAGGAAAAATAAAGGGCCGTCTCTTTTAAAAAAATAATGGCTAAAGTGCACTGGGTGACTTTTATGATGTGTTATTTTTCTCTTTTTCTGTCTCTGTCCACTTTATATTCTAACTCTTTTATGGACAACTTAATGACCTCTTTAAATATAAACGGAGGAAGAGATAGGACAAAATTAGCAGTGATTTCTGAATTCTTAAATATAAATCAGGTTAATATTGTTTTTTTACAAGAGACTCATAGCAATGAGGAGAATGAAATTGAGTGGAATAGAAGGTGGGAAGGGACATTGGCATTGAGTCATGAGACAAACAATAGTGCGGGAGTAGCTATCCTTTTTAAAAAAAGGGTTGAATGTCAACATTTTAAATACTGAAGAAATTGAAAAAGGAAGGGTATTATTACTAAAAATACAGTATGGGGAACATGTTTTTGTTCTAGTGAATGTGTATGCTCCAAATAATGGGGTGGAAAGAGTAAGAGTTTTTGACCAATTATATAAAGCACTTCACAATTTTGATGATGACACTTGGTTAGTGTTAGGAGGGGACTGGAACTGTACTATTCATTCTGTAATTGATAGGAATGGTGAAGAGCCACATAGTCACTCTAGTACATTTCTGTCTAATATAATGGGAAAATATGATTTAATGGATGTGTGGAGAAGAAGAAATATTGGTGTGAGACGGTATGGATTAAAGTTGCAGAAAATACGGTTAGTGGGGCTAGAAAAGGAAAAGTGATTTTGAAAACCTTAGTCAATAGTGGGATGTAGGCAAGGTGCAAATTAAAGAATTATGTCAAAATGTTTCTGCTTGTAGTACTTTGTATTACAAATGTGAAAAAAAAACTATACAGAGCTTGCAAAAGGAAATTGAATGTTAGGAAGAGGACTTGACGAATAATGAAAGAGCACAGGACAATGGTATGCTTTTAAGCAAGAAAAAGAAAGAACTTGGAACTGTGTTACAAGAACAAGTGATAGAGGCACTTGTAAGATCGAGGATTTGTTCAATCAAAGACATGGATGCTCCAACTTCATATTTCTTCAACTTGGAAAAAAAGACAGTTCAATATAAACAGATGCATTATCTTCATTGCCAAAATGGAAATATAACAACAAATCCAGCTGAAATGAGAAAGTTGGCGATGGACTTTTATTCTGTGTTGTACAGTGCGGAGGAATATGATTCTGATAGTGCAAAAGATTTACTAAAATATTTAACACAGTTGGAGCAAGCACAAAGTCAAGCTTTGGATGAAATGATTTCATATGGAGAGTTAACAGAAGCAGTGCAGCAGTTGTCTATGGGGCGTTCTCCGGGAATAGATGGATTAACAGCTGAGGAAATTAACATTTCTGGGGATTATTAGGAGAGGATTTGTATGAAGTTGTACAAGATTACATCATCATCCCAAAATACTTCCTGTTATTTGTAGGAGGGCTGTAATTTCACTGTTACCCAAAAAAGGAGATGTAGGATTTTTAAAGAATTGGAGGGGATTATCCTTAGGATGTTTAGAATATAAAATAATTTCAAAATCTATTGCAAATAGGCTTAAAAATGTTTTAGATTTATTGATTAATAAGGATCAGACATATTGTATACCGAACCGATCAATGATGGACAATTTTTTTTTTTTTTAAGAGATGTGATTGATCATGATTGTATAAATGATTCTAATTTGGGTGTCCTGACAATAGACCAGGAAAAAGCATTTGACAGGGTAGACCATGATTATCTTTTTAAAGTGTTAAATGGCTTTGGAATCGGTGATAACTTCATTTCTTATGTTAAATTGTTATACTCTGATGTATCAGTTCTAATTAAGGTGGGTGGAGGAATAAGTGCCCCAGTAGCAGTCACTAGAGGAATTAGGCAGGGTTGTCCTCTTTCTGGGCAATTATATAGTCTTGTAATTGAACCTCTGTTGTGTAAATTAAGGAGAGAACTGGCTGGTTTTTCAATTACAGGTGTAAAAGAAACTTTTAAGGTGTATATGTCTGCTTATGCCGATGATGTAACCGTTTGTATTTCAGGACAAAATGATGTATCAGTTTTGGAAACAAGCATCAGGCCATATGAGATGGTTTCCTCTGCCAGAGTTAACTGGGAGAAAAGCGAGGGGTTTATTACTGGCCGGTGGAGAAACACTGGACCTCCGAAACTTCCAGGAGGACTGATTTGGAGGAGGGAGGGTATAAAAATGTTAGGTGTTTTTAGGAAAGTAAAGTTTTAAAATGAAGAATTGGGAGGGAGTGCTGGAGAAGGTGGTAGCTCGATTGTCTAAATGGAAATGGCTATTACCACAATTGTCCTATAGAGGAAGAGTTCTGGTGGCAAACAATCTGGCAGATTCCACGCTCTGGCACAAACTCATTGTTCTGGAACCACCAAGCAAACTGATTTGTAACATACAGAGGAAAATAGTGGACTTTTTTTTTGGAGCGGCGAACACTGGACTCGGGCTGCGGTGCTTTACTTACCGGTACATAAAGGAGGTCAAGGTCTGGTGAATGTAAAGAGTCGAATTGTTGCTTTCAGGCTGCAAGCGGCGCAAAAATTTCTCTATCAAGATTCAAGAGGATTTAGCATGGACACAGACGGCATGTGTTTTTCTGCAGAAGGTTGAAAGTTTTGGACTAGACAAACACTTGTTTTTATTGAAAATGGACGGGCTGAAACTGGACAGTGTCTCTTCTTTTTACAAATCAATGTTGCAAGCTTGGAATAAAGTTCTGAAAGTGGAGAGAAACTTGAATGAGCTTGGGGATGATGAGGAACCACTGTTCAATAATCCGTTGATTCAGACCCGGTTTTTATCATCAATGAGCATTCAGAGAACTCTTGTAAAGAACGGAGTCACTAAACTGGGACATTTACTGGACAATGGCAGATGGAGTTCAGTGGTCACTTTTAAAAAACTATCTGGTTTTTGCTCGATAAGAATTGTTTCAAAATTAAGAGATGAGATTTTTGCTGCTTTGCCGAGCAGTTACAGAGGGGGGTGTTGTAGTTTCTGTAGTGCTGAAGAAATGATAGAGCATTTGTTCTTACAATGTTTGAGGCTTGGAGGTCTTCTTGAGTTGATTCTTGGTTTCAGTGGTTTGGTGAGGAGTTTTCCCATAAAGTTTTCATTGGGGGACTTAAATACAAGTGCCGATAGGTAAACTGTGTTTATTAAATTACTATTAATTATTATTAATTATTACTATTAATTATTATTAATTATTACTATTAATTATTATTAATTAAGAGTTGAAAGTTGGTTCAACAGATGTAGAAATGATGTTGAAGTGTATGGTAAAAGGAAGGATAAAAATAGAATTTTCATATTATAAGCTGATCAATGATGTTGAAAGGTTTTTAAGAATTTGGGGTATAAATGAGGTTGTATGTTTGATGATGCAGATTTATTTTACTTTTTAGTATGTTTTAAATTATTTGTTGTTGAGGTAAAAGGATACAGGTAACAATGGTGTTGTAAAATCCTGAATTTAATGTAACAATAAAGATCTGTTCAATCTCTCTCTCTCTCTCTCTCTCTCTCTCTCTCTCTCGCTTTCTGTTTCATTCCCTCCCTACCACTGTATCTCTCACTCACCATAGAATTTAAATATAGTTACTTCACTCTTGTTGCTGTAACTGACCACACTCTCAGCATTCTCAGTCATTACCATTACGGTAGTAAGGAAGTGTAGCGCTCATGTTTGGTTTAGTCTGGTCCTCTCCTCGCTGCTGATTTGAGAGGGAGTGAAATGATGCACAAGATCATGGGAGCAGAAGACTTTGAGCTGGAGTGGTGCTATGAGCAGTGTGCCAATGGTAAAGCTTCTGTGAGTTTGTGTATTTGTGGGTTTTGTATTTGTGGCTTTTGTGCACTTTTATCTCTTTGATTAGTTTTTTTTTTTTCATTTCTAATTTATAATGTGTATTTTTGTTGATTTTGAGGTTTAGATGGTTTGTTGTGGGCTATTTTTTTCTGTAAAGGTTTGGGAGGTTCGGAAGTGCTTTAAAGCTAATCGGATTCTCCTTTTTACTCTCACTTTCCTTTTTGAGTATAGCCTGAGGCCTCTGGATTTCTGTCTGTGTGTGTGAGAGAAATAGAGAGATAGATGACATAGTTGTCTTATTGTTTGCTCTGTCAAGAGTCATTTCATTTTCTGGCAGTATTTCCATGTCTGGAAGTGTTTAATATTTTTACAGTCAATGTCCTGAGGCTGAGTCCTGAATTTAATTATACAATCCTCATATCAGCCATTAGGAACTCAGAGGCATGAAAATATGTGATTTGTTCTTAAAATTCATTAAAGCAGTATAAAGTCTTTATCTTTGAAAACATTAATCCATTTTCAGTTTTGCATATTGCAATTAAGCTTCTATTGTATGTTTTATAATATACACCTCCAAGATGTAGTATTTCTTGTGACAAAAAAGTTCCTTCTGCATGCCCATATCCTGTACATTAAATTTAGTATCAAATAATTCATTAACAAGATGTTGTAAAGTTTATAGTTTAATTTAATCTCTTATTACATTTTTATTTTTGTGCATACGTTTGTGCATGTGTCTCTGTGTTATTGTAAGAGTGTGATGTAACAGTAATTGTGGATGATCTGGTTCTGGCTGACTGTGGATGGGGTTTCTGGGTAACAGCACCATGGAAACAGTCGCCGGGACAATCATGCATGATTTGTCATTGATGTTATTGTAAGAGCGTGATGGTGCGAGGTCAGCAAGCCATATCTGTTTTCTTTCCTATTTATCTACTTCATTCTACTAAATTCTACTAAATTAAATTAAATGTCTTTACACTTAAGAGTTATGTCAAGATCGTTTTTAGATTAAGGCAATGTAAGATTCTCACTGTATTGAACTCAGGTCTGATGTGCTCAAGTGCTTTGCTAACAAGTTTTTCTACACTCTTTCTGTCTGTTTCAGTATTATGTGCTGAGCGAGTGGGCCAGATGACTAAGACCTATAATGACATTGACGCTGTCACAAGACTTCTGGAGGAGGTGAAAGTTAAAAAGAAATTATATGCATTTATTATGATGCTGGAGTTTGGGGTCAGTAAGACTTTTTAAAAAAAAGAAATGAATACCTTTATTCAGCAAGGAAGGATGCATAACATTGATCAAAAGTGAGAGTAAAGATTTATAATATTACAAAAAAATATATATATTTCAATTGAAAAAAGTGAATCACAGTTTTCACAAAAACTTTAAGCAGCATAACATTGATAATAATAAGAAATGTTTTTGAGCACCAAATAAATATTTAAAGGAAACTTGCCAAAGCAAACCATCTTATTAGAAGGATTTCTGAAGGATCATGTGAGTCAGCGTTGCCATCACAGGAATAGTTTAAAAAAATACATTAAAATAGAAAACACTTATTTCAAATTGTAATAATAATGAACATTATAGCTGTTATACTTTATTTTTGATCAAATAAATGCAGCCTTTCAAAGCACTTTCAACAACAACAAAAAATCTTACAGACTCCAGACTATTCAATGGTAGTGTCACGGGGTGTGGTGGAGTGCAGGCTGAGGAAGACAGACTGAAGAGGCAAAGCTCCAATTCAATTACTTTACTTAAACTTTACACAATCAACAGGAACAGGCAGGAAACCACTCGCAACACATGGTAACATACACACAACGACCGACAATGACAGACTGAATGAGGAGGAACTAAATACACAGAGGAATCAACCAAAACGAGGTGCAAACAGGTGAAAATGATGAAACAAGACGAGGAACAGGTGGCTGATGAGGGAGTGAGTTCGGGAGTGAAGACAAAAGGATCCTGGGAAGTGTAGTGCAGATGACGAAGACAGACTGGTGCAGATGAAGGACTGTGACAGGTAGTCTGTTTGACAATCTTTTCTTCGACTCTTTCTACAGAAAGAGCGGGATCTGGAGCTCTCTGCCCGCATCGGTCAGTCCCTCCTGAAGAAGAATCGCATACTGTCAGAGCAGAACGAATACCTGGATGAACAAGTGGGCACCATCAGGGAAGAGGTACATGAACAGATTCATTAAAAAGTGTCTCTGGTGCTAAAAATGAGTTGCCCCTGCTGATAAACTGTGCACAGAATAGAGTGCCGAAGTGATGTGACGTCACTTTGTAGGACAACTCGGAAGCTAGCGGCGCATGGGTTCCCTCGATCAAAAAGCTATGCATTTTCCCCATAGACTTTTGGAAAATTGCAAAAAATAAGATGTGTGTTTAACAAAGAGTTGTGTAACCCTTACACGTTTTGTCTATCAAGATAATCTTTACAAGTTAATCCAAAATGTATATATTTTGAAGCCTATATAAAAAATTTTAAGAACACAAGCAGACACAATAAAGTTTAAAAAAAACAAAGCGTGAAAATATTTAGAGGCTGTGTTCACCACAGACCATATTTCAGGGAATTTAGCAAAAACCCATTCAAAAATCCCATAGACTTTAGAGCGAGGGAACTGGTAGTGCTAAAATGCTAACTCACTTCCGCGTTTTTGGCTTACAGAGTGACGTCATAACTTCGGCACTCTATTACTGCAACTTAGTGTATTCAGAAGCTTTTTTGAAGTTTCAGCTCAGTTAAGTGTTTTAAAATATTAGTAATTATATGAGTAATGACATTTAGCATGTTCAACCTCTTAGTAAAGATGAAGTCATGAGTAATGAATAAATTTTTGTAGTTTTATTCAATTTTGTTGATTTGATTGTACCACAGGTTGCTCAGCTTCACCATGAGTTGAATCTAAAAGATGAGCTCCTGCAGTTCTACACTAATGCAGCGGAGGAGAGTGAAGAGGGGTCTGGATCACACACGTCAGTCTGTTTTATAACACTGTTCTCATTTGTCTCTCACTCAAGGCCAGTGTAGCGAGTTCTGTTGGCTTCAGTTATTTTTTCGGATATTTTTAGATCAGGTGTTTTTCTTCAGGGCTTTTTAGCTTTATTTTAATTTATAATGTGTAACTAAACAATTATTTTGTTATAACACTTGTTATTTCTGCTGAATGAGACAGCCCAAAGATCTTCAATTAAAGTAAAGAAATCAGAACTGTAATATTTTATATTCATAGTTTTTTTGTTTTGGGTTCAGGGGTCGACAGGGAAGGAATGGAGTTTCTGCCCCTAGCAGTTCATCTCTGGATATTCTGCAGCACAAACTTCGAGACCTTGAGGAGGAAAACCTTTCTCTCAGATCAGAGGTACATGCACATGCAGAAAAAATATATTATATAATTTATACACTACCGTTCAATAGGTTGGGATACATATTTTTTTGAATGTCATGATTCTAATATGCTGACTTGGTGTTCAATAAACATTTCGGTAACACTTTCTATGAAGACCATGCTTATAATGAATTATAGCCCCATTTATACTTATAAATAAGTATTATTACTAAATTACTATTTTTTAATACATTTATAAAAGACTCATTAAGACCTATACTGCATTATAAGAAAAATTATAGTCATTTATAATTACTTTTGTTATAATTACATTTGTTAACATGATGCCCCCCCCCCATTCTTTGATAAATAGAAAGTTCAGAAGAACAGCTATAATTTGACAGAAATCTTTTTAAAGTTATAAATGTGTTCACTGTCACTTTTAATCAGTTTAATGTGTCCTTGCTGAATAAAAGTATAAGTTTATTTTTTAAAAATCACATATATGACAACATATAGGATATATACACACATATATGTAGGTATGTATGTAGAGTATATAGACATTTTGGCCTAAAGCCATGTGTGTGTCTCTTTCCAATGTCAATGTGTGAGAAGAAAAAATAATTGATTTCTCACAGTGCATGCATGCTGCAATCACAGTAGATTGTGAATCCTATCGACCCATAACCCCTGTTAGTTCAGTGAACTACCAGCAAACGATCAGTAATTATGGGGGGTTGGATTCCTCTGCACAAAGATTTCAAATCACTTTGCTTTTGTTAAATCTTTATTTAATGTATTTAGAAAATATTGAAAATAAAATGACAAAGAACATTTATGAAACAGTTTATAAACAATACTTATTTACATTTTAACTTGACTAAGTACTTGTCTCTCTTTCTTGTCGCTAGGCGAGTCATCTGAAGTCTGAGACAGAGTCATATGAGGAGAAAGAACAGCAATTGGTGAATGACTGCGTCAGAGAGCTAAGTGAGTGAAACTTTGGCTTGGAGTGGAGATGTAGAGCTCTATATTTGAACAAAAATAAAATAAAATCCACCCTTTCTCCTCATACAGGGCAGTCAAGCATCCAGATCTCCAGTATAGCAGAAGAGCTGGCCAAAAAGACAGAAGATGCCTCTCGCCAACAAGAGGAAATCACACACTTACTCTCTCAGATAGTGGACCTGCAGAAAAAAGCCAAAACTGTGAGTCGTTTGCATCTTTCACTCCATCTGAGAACAAATTAAAAAATATATGTGATGAATATGTGCTGAGATTTACATGTGTATTTGTGTTTGTGTATGTTTTTGACAGTTTGCCATTGAGAACGAAGAACTTTCTCAGCACCTTTCGGCAGCTAAAGACGCTCAGAGACAGCTCACAACCGAGGCACTTTATTTCAAACATAATAAATTAGTATTCCACGTATTTAATCTCACAAAAGCATGTCTTCATAATATATTCACTTCTTTAATCTGTGTGAATGTTGTTGACTATTGTTGGTTCCTCACACACACAGCTGCAGGAGCTGGAGGAGAAATACTCTGAGTGCATTGAAATGCTCCATGAGGCTCAAGAGGAACTCAAGAACCTACGGAACCGCAGTGTGTCTGCAGGAACTCCTCGACGCTATCACCCTCTGGGACTTTTTCCCATGGTACACAAACATGCAGTTATATAACTCATGCAAGGCCAGTGCACGAGGAGATCACAAACACATGTATCTTTCGGTTTAAAGGGTTAGTTCACCCAAAAATTAAAATTCTGTCAGTATTTACTCACCCTCATGTTGTTCCAACCCCGTAAGACCCTCGTTCATCTTCGGAACACAAATTAAGATATTTTTGATGAAATCTGAGAGCTGGATCACTCCTGCATACTAGACTCCATAGGGTTCTTGAGAAATTGAAACTTGCCAGCCTCGAAAAGTTATTGAAGACATCGTTAAAATAGTCCAAGTGACTTCAGTGGCTCAATTTTAACTTTATCAAGCGACGAGAATACTTTTTGTGCTCAAAAACAAACAAAAATAACGACTTTATTTCAACTATTCACTCTCTTCTCTTTGCGCCTCTGGTCAGTTAACGTAGTGTGATAGCGTATAGCTACGTCACACGTAGGCTCACTATTGGCCGACACTGGTCATGTGTGTGATGCGTGTGATGTACAACAACAGATCATACGCTGTTAAACTAGTAACCTGACTATTTTTTGTTTTGTACTTTTTGTTGTTTTTTTGCACACATAAAGTGTTCTTGTCGTTTGATAAACTTAAGATTGAGCCACTGTAGTCACATGGACTATTTTAACTATGTCTTTAATAGTCTTAGAAAAGTCTTTAATAACTTTTCGAGGCCAGCAAGTTTCAATTCCTCAAGAAGCCTATGGACTAGTATGGAGGAGTGAGACAGCTCTCAGATTTCATCAAAAATATCCTAATTTGTGTTCCGAAGATGAAAGAAGGTCTTACGGGGTTGGAACAACATGAGAGTGAGTAAAAGACTGACAGAATTTTCATTTTTGGGTGAACTAACCTTTTAATGTCTGCTAGTGGTGTGGATTTGCTGGTGGGAATGGCAAAAGCTGGATAAGACTTGGACTTGCTGATACAGCAAGTTGGCTAGCAGTCAATTTACACTACTGTTACAAAGTTTGTGTCAGTAAGATTAAATAAAATCAGAAAGGACTCATTTAATTGATTAGAAATGACAGTAAAGTCTTGCATTGTCACAAAAAAAAATCCATTTGAAACTTGAACTTTCTAATCATTAGAGAATCTAAAAAAAACAACATTACATTTTGCTGAAGTTATATAGTGAGTTATATAAATAAAAGCAGAACATTCTCAAGTGGTTTGGTAATGAAACTTATGAAAGCTAAAAAATAAGTGTGTGTGTGTGTGTGTTTTAGGACTCCCTGGCTGCTGAAATTGAGGGAACCATGAGGAAGGAATTGAGTCTCGAGAATCCTGACAATGAAGAACAGAGGTTTGAACTTTTTTTCCTTCCCATCACACAGCACATTTTCTTTCATTGGTTTCATTCATTTTCTTTTACTCTCAATCAAATCTTTGCATTAAATAACAAAAAATGCTTTTGTCTCAAGGGTCCGTAATAAGCGTGTGTTTGAGACTGTGAAGAACATCAACCAGTCTGCCAGACTGCAATCTTCTGCTACTAACATCCCAGGGTCCAATCAGACGCTGTCTTCCCTTAGCTCCCCCCAATCCGACAGCAATAGCAACAATGCAGTACCTGATAACCGTACACAGAGCATGCTCCATGAAACCAACTCCTCAGATGCTGCGTGAGTCTATTATGAGCCTATACTTACTTTACTATACTTTCAGAGGTTGTAAGCCAATAACTTTCAATTGACCTTTAGCTGAATCATAATGTAGTCACTGCTTTGCTGGGGAAACAATAAATGCATATTAAAATATTCATGTGTCTGAAAGGCCACTGGTTCTGGCCCACTTGAAAGAGTTTGTGGGTCACTCAGGAAAATCTAAAATTTGAGTTTTGCATCAAAATAACACATTTAAAATATAACTGATGAAAGGGGACATGCAAATGGGTTGATATTCCTGATGGAAAAGTTGAAGCTATCAAATACTGTGACTAGTTCAGCATCCTTTTAAACTACACTGTAATAAGTGATAAGTTGAAAACAAAGTGAGGAATCCTGTTCTCTTAAAATTATTAAGTAAATATAGGCCTACTTCATGCGTAGTTGAAAAAAAAAAAGTTATGTGGAATTGTTGAATTGTTTTTCAATTACACATACTACTTCCTACTTCATTTTACAGTAACGTTAAGTCAACTGATTACTTTTTACAGTGTGAAACTGAGAATGACCCTTGTTTTCAATTACTTTCCTTGTTCTCTGACTGCAGCGTGGATGCCTCTGAGAAGCGATCTGGCTCCGAGGAGCTCAAACTTGCTCTGCGGCGACTGTCTCTACGTCGACAGAACTGTCTGAGCGAGCGTCTTTTCTTTGAGGGGGAGCGGGGGAGGCGTAATCGGGAGCCGGCGGACAGTGGATATTATTCAAACAGGCTTGTCCACAGTGAGAGCATCATGTCCCTGGGCGCTTGGTCCAGTCGGCCTTATCTTCCTGACAAGCTCCAGATTGTCAAACCTCTGGAAGGTGACCGAAATATCCAAAATGTCTATCCTAAGACATTCCTGCATTACCGTTCCAGGCCACGCCCACGCACTATGATGCTTTTCAATTCACTGTGGGCGCTAATGCATCCCCGCAAAAACTCCTACTTTAGAGAGTCCCGTACCTGGGTGCATTTACACTAGCGATCAGGTTTGGACAAAGTTTTAAAAATGGATAAATGTAAAGGAATAGTTCACCAAGATTGCCCAGCAACATTGCTCAAATAGTTGCACTTTGTATCATCACCTATAGAGGCTGGACTTTATTTGCGTTTTATCTATGCTATACTATGTACAGTATGTGAGATGTAAAAGAGTCCCATTAGTCATTTCTATATATTCTAGTGTCTAATATAGGTTATAAAGTAGTGATTTAAATATAGATTTGTCAAGTTTGTTGTGCAAGTTTTTGGGGGGATATCTGTTTTCTATTTTATTACCGCCACCTAATGGACAATTAGTGAAAAATAGAACTTTTGCTTGTGTTATTCTTCATCCATTTTGATTCTGTTTCTGTATTTATTGTACTTGTATTATTTCCCTCATCTCTTATTCTGTGTTCTGCATTTTATTTAGTAGATATTCAATAAAGACATCTTATTCTCACTCTTTCTTTCTTTCGTCCATTTTTTGTTTTTCATCATCACTTCATTGCAGCATTGTTAATATGTGTTTGATTTCACACTAAGTTAATGTAGCCACTGTGTAAATTAGGTTGTGAAATCACACAGTTCTCCGTCTCATTGTCCCTCGTCTCTTTTTTTCCTAGGCTCAGCTACCCTTCAGCACTGGCAGCAGTTAGCTCAGCCTAATCTGGGTGGTATCCTGGATGCTCGACCTGGTGTGGTCCCGAAAGGCTACCGTCCTTTGGAGGTGGATCTGGAGGAAGTATATCACTATGCCGACTACGAGGAGGATGAGCCTGGAGATCAGTACTTCCAGAAACTTCCCACCACAACCTCATCTAATCCCAGTGTCCCTCCTGCCCATAGCATTTCTCCCTCAGCCTCCCCGTCACCATGTCTCAGCACAGGTCACGCGTCCATAGAGTTCTCAAGTAAGTTAACATTTTTCTGTGTGAGCAGCTTGCATCCTATGCAAAGATGTTTATGTAATAATATAAATAAATAATACTTGCGTTTCTAAGAACATTTTTTCTTTTGTGTATGAAGTCAGAAATGGTCATATGCTACATAATGTTTAATAAATGTTAACGAATCAAACCTGAACTAAAGAAATACATTACAATTAATGCAAAATATTTGTATTTATTTATTTAAAAAGAAATCAAGGCTGTATATTTGCCCATTGTCTCATTAATTTCAAATTTCTCAAATCAATATTTTAAATCCATGTATTTGGTCAATATCTTTGTAAATAAAATAAAAATATTTTATTTATTTTAAATAAATTGTTGATTAATTTAGATAAAATAAATCCAAATTTGCTATATCTGTAATTAGTCCTTATACAAAAATTATTTGACCTAAATAAATTACATTGTATTATAAAATATGTATTGATTGATTGAATGATCGATTAATTGTTGATCGCTTAAAATTTTATATTTTCCCATTATATTATGCTAAAACATTTTAAAATGACAAATGACTTAAATCAATATTTCCAATCAATGTACATGTTGTGTAAATTTTACAAATGGTTACAAACATATATGTATATTTTTAGATCAAATTGTTATAGAGCAAAATATTTAAAACCATTTATTTATTTGTTTGTTCGTTTGTTTGATTGATTGATCAAAACTGCATTTGCCCATTGTCCCAGGCAAACAATTTCCTATACATTAGGTAGCAATATACACATTTCAGGTAACAAAATTTAAAATTTCTCAAATCAATATTTCAGATCTGTGTATTTGGTAAGTAGCCATGTAAAATAAAATAAAAAATATATTTTTTAAAAATGTATTTATTTAGACAAAAATAAATGAAATCTTTGCTTTGTTCTTAGCTTTTGTACCTTTTTCAGTGTATTTCCCAGGCAAATGCATGGCTCATACAAGTTCGACCTACACCTTCACCACCTGCAAAATCCTCCATCCTTCTGATGAGCTCACAAGGGTGACCCCCAGGTATTGTACTGTCCTGTAACTGAGACAATAATTGACAAGCCAATCAGCACTTAATGTTCTACTTCTCTGTCTAGTTTAAACCCTGTCCCAACCTCGTCCTGCGTGATTTCAAGCAGTCTGCGGTCGACGCCTGCTGCCACGCCCTGTACTCCTCGCAGAATGAGCCTGTCCCAGTCACAATCCTTCACCAACCTGCGGGACCCCACAAAAACCTTCAGCACATCTTTGGGGCTGGTGCGCCTCTTGCAGGAGAGGGGCATCTCTGCCGCCGTGTACCAGCCTCAGAGCTGGGAGAGAGGAAGTGGAGGAGTCCTCTTTTCCACCTCAGTTCTTCCTCCTCCACCTCACGACCCCCACCGCCCCAATACCCCACCCAATTCTCCCACCCGCCGCACTCCTAGCCCGGGATCGGTGGTTTCTGATTCAGACACCTCTATACCTTTCTCTTTCAAAAGCCCATCCTATGAAAACTTTTTGGCTTCCAAACCGGCACGGTCCATTTTGAAAGAGGTAGCTGGGGTGTCCGGGGCTCAGGCTAAAGACTGTGAGAGCCAAACTGATGTCAGTATGTATAATCTCAATTTGGTTGATAAGCTGAAAAGGTTGGGTTTGGCAAGCCCCGGGGCTTCTGGGACAACAGGGGGTGGGATTCCAAGGCCAGGCCGACTTATAAGTCATCTTGGTGCGCTACAAAGGTCAGGGTCCCCCTTTAGTCCACTAAATGAAGGGATGAGGAGGAATCGGAGCTATCCTGCTATGGTTGGGGCCAGTATGGCGATGAAGGGGCCCGGCCCTCAAGGGGATGAATTGTTACTGACCCCTAAACTACCTAAGCAAACAAGTCTCAAATAAGTTATGCATAATAATGAATCACACAATCAATAGATTGGGCACTACATTACTAACACCGAAGTCATAACTTGTACAAAGACCCACTAACTTAAATAATTAATCCAATTTGTTTATTTAATCTGTCTTCATTTGCTCACCCTCATTCCAAACCTGTTTAACTTTACAAGATATATTGTTCCCTTTCGTAGTCACTTCGAGTTACGTCAGAAGTCACGGAGAATGGGGGTTTCGCAAGCTAATCCTCTTCGAGTATTTAACAATGAGCCAATGGCATGAAAATGCCTTGGGGCTGCGGAATTTGCATAGCGTATCTCCGCCCCACGCAGTGGGTATAAAAGGAGGAAGTGAACGCAACCGCAGTATGTTTTCGCTTCGGAGCCAAGAGACCTCTTCACTCCTAAAGCCATTCTCACTGATCCAAAGACTCTTCGAGACGAGCGTCCTCTTCAGTGTTGGTGTGACGGCGCTACCCAGCGAGATTCTGCATCGCCTGCGATCTGAGCAGTGGTCTGCCAGACTTTGCGCTTCTCCCTGGTCGCCTCAGCGCTGAAAGAGTGAATTTCCTCCTCTCATTGAAAGAGCTGCACGTGGCACGTCTTTTTAAAGATGTCTCGCCCGTGTTCTTCTGGGTGCGGTCGATTCATGTCATCTTCTGATGGTCACGATCGCTGCTCTGTGTGCCTGGGCATTCAGCATGCTGCAGCAGCGTTCGTGGATGACTCATGTTCCTTCTGTGGGAACATGACCATCTCTACACTGAGATCTAGACTCAAGGATCTGACAAAAGTGAGAGTACCCGTCCCCGCTACTCGATCTGCTTCTTCCACGAGAAGCTCTTCGACTCGCGGCCAGGGTGATCTGATGGTTACGGTGTGGAACAAAGCCCCGACGCTAGTTCCTCGGGCCACACCCCCCGCTCCAGTGGTAGAGCCAGCGAGCACCAGTTCGAATCAGCCGTCTGCCTCTTCGCAGGTACCGTCTGTTTCGTTCGGCGCTCCAGAGGATGATGCGATGTCGATCGCAGCATCACAAGGCGGGCTTGATTCCTCGGGAGATGAGGATGCGGCTGCGTTGCCTCCCTCGGGAGTGCCAGCGTTGCCCGTGTCTGATCCCGAGTTAACGGCCATGCTATCTCGGGCCGCCGTGAGTATCGGGTTAGAGTGGAACCCTCCGCCCTGCCCCGATCTCTCAAGGATGGATAATTGGTTTTTGGGCAAGGCTGCCGCCGCAAGGCCACAGCCGACCCCAATACCTTTTTTCCCCGAGCTGCATGCGGAGCTGACGCGCACTTCGAAGGCTCCTTTGTCCTCCCGAGAGCGCGCTTTAGCCTCCCCCGCCTTTCCTCCCCTCGATGGTGGGGCCGCCCGTGGGTACACTGGGATGCCCCCGGTGGAGCGCTCTGTTGCGATGCAGCTGTGTCCACAGAGCGCCTCCTCCCGTGGTCCTCCTAAGCACCCATCCAAAGCCTGTAGGTTCTCGTCTGCTATGGCGGCGCGTTCCTATAGAGCGGCGGGACAGGCGGCCTCCTCCCTGCATGCGATGAGCACTTTGCAGGTTTTCCAAGCCAAACTGCTCAGAGATATGCACGAGGGGGGGACTGACCAAACGGCCTTTAACGAACTGCGAGCGGCCACAAACCTTGCTCTCCGGTCAACGAAGGTGGCTGCTCGCTCCGTTGGTCAGGTGATGGTCACTAGCATGGTCCAGGAGCGCCATCTCTGGCTTAACCTGGCAGATACACGGGATGCCGAGCGGACTCATCTGCTCGACGCCCCGCTATCCCAGGTTGGCCTTTTCGGCGGTGCAGTCGAGGACTTTGCCCAGCAGTTCTCGACTGCCCAGAAGCAGACGTAGGCGATCAAACAAATTCTGCCCCGACTGCCAGCTGCTGCCTCCACCCAGCCGTCGGTGCAGACGCTTCCTTCTGCTCGCCGCCGAGGACGCCCCCCTGCGGCTACCCTCCCTCCCACGCGGCCCCAGCAGCAGCCTTCATCCGGGTCGCGGCGCGGAGGAGGCCGCAGGCAAGCGTCACAGCCCCCTCAGGCCGCACGCCCCGCTAAACGCCAGGCAAAGCGACGTTCCTGAGACGGGCTGCTAAGTGGTGAAGTCGAGTTTTTCCCACGAGGTGGTAGCAGGCCCCCTCCTTCCCCCGGTGGAGGGCCGGGGGAGAATCTTTTGTTCTCAGCTCCCCGCTGCTCACCCACGGGTGGGCAGTACCCTGAGTTGGTTAAAGAAAGACTTGACATCATCACTGAGCACACAGACAGGAATGAGTGCACTCGACATCCCACTGCGTCAGCCCACTCATTCCTCTCTGTCTCTGAGGGTGCGGAAGGGAGCGTGTGTCGTCCCTCGACTACGCCACTCCCCTCCCCCTCTATCGCCAGACCCCCGGCAGAACAGACCCCCGTGGAACGCTGGTCCTTCCCTGTTCTCTTCTGTCGGGGAGCGGGCTTCGACCGTGCATCCGGGCGGGGTAACTCCTGCGCGCATGCCAGTCGACCCGCCTCACTGCCCCTCCGGGGGGATGTCTGTGGTTTGTATGACCTCGCTGGTACACTTGCTGGAAGCTTGGCTAGAGCTTCCCGGGCTGTCCCGCTGGGTCATCAGAACGATCAGATTCGGCTACGCGATTCAGTTCGCACGGTCTCCTCCCCGTTTCAGGGGAGTTCACTCCACGATGGTCGGTGGCAATGCCCCGGTCATGAGAGCGGAGATTGCGACCCTGCTGGCGAAGGGTGCAATCGAGACGGTCCCTCCAGCCGAGATGAGGTCCGGGTTTTACAGCCCCTACTTCATTGTCCCCAAGAAGACCGGTGGGTTACGACCGATCCTGGATCTGCGCATTTTGAACCGTACTCTCCATCGACTACCGTTCAAAATGCTCACAGCCAAACGCATTTTCGAATGCGTTCGGCTTCAGGATTGGTTTGCAGCGATCGACCTGAAGGACGCGTACTTTCATGTCTCCATTTTGCCTCGACACAGACCGTTTCTTCGGTTTGCTTTCGAGGGCCAGGCATATCAGTACACGGTTCTCCCATTCGGGTTAGCTCTGTCCCCTCGCGTCTTCACGAAGATCGTCGAGGCAGCCCTTGTTCCCCTTCGCGAACACGGGGTTCGCATCCTGAGCTATCTCGACGACTGGCTGATACTGGCACACTCTCGAGAACAGGTTTGCGAACACAGAGACCTGGTGCTCCGGCACCTAGCCCGTCTGGGCCTTCGGGTCAACCGGGAAAAGAGCAAACTTTGCCCCGTGCAGAGGATCTCTTTTCTCGGCATGGAGATAGACTCGGTCGCCATGTCCGCGCAGCTCACGAGCGAGCGCGCGCACTCACTGCTGACTTGTCTTCGACAGTTCGAGGGCAAGAGTGCGGTTCCACTGAAACTGTTTCAGAGGCTCCTGGGTCATATGGCATCCGCAGCCGCGGCAACGCCGCTCGGTTTGCTTCATATGAGACCGCTTCAGCTGTGGCTTCGCGATCGAGTCCCGAGGTGGGCATGGCATCGCGGCTTGCTCCGAGTTCCAGTGACTCCAGCGTGCCGCCGAACCTTCTTCCCGTGGTCGAACCTCAGCTTTTTACGGGCCGGTGTCCCTCTACAGCGAGTTTCCAGGCATCTTGTTGTCTCCACAGATGCATCTACCACGGGTTGGGGTGCCATGTGCAATGGGCATGCAGCCGCGGGTTCCTGGACAGGACCCCAGCGCCTCATGCACATCAATTGCCTCGAGCTGCTGGCAGTACGCCTGGCCCTGCACCGCTTTCGAGCGCTGCTCAGGGGTCAACATATACTTGTCCGTTCAGACAACACCACTGCAGTAGCATACATCAACCACCACTACGCTCACGCCGGTTGTCGCAGCTCGCCCGCCACCTTTTGTTATGGAGTCAGAAGCACCTGAGGTCCCTTCGTGCAGTATACATTCCAGGAGACCGGAACCTGGCAGCCGACAAGCTGTCACGGGTCCGCCCTATCTCCGGCGAATGGCGACTCCATCCCCACACGGTCCAGCTGATTTATGACCAGTTCGGGGAGGCACAGATAGATCTGTTCGCCTCCCGGGACTCATCCCACTGCGCCCAGTTTTATTCCCTGACCGAGGGTACGCTCGGCACAGATGCACTGGCGCAGAGCTGGCCGTGGGGCCCACGCAAGTATGTGTTTCCCCCAGTGAGCCTTCTTGCACGGGTGTTGTGTAAGATCAAGGAGGACGAGGAGCAGGTCTTGCTGGTAGCCCCCTATTGGCCCACCAAGACGTGGTTCTCCGAACTCATGCTCCTCGCGACAGCACCTCCTTGGCCTATTCCTCTGAGACAAGATCTACTCACTCAGAGACGGGGCACTCTGTGGCACCCTCGTCCCGATCTCTGGAGGCTGCACGTGTGGCTCCTGGACGGGACGAGGCAGGTTTGAGTTCGCTGCCACCTGCGGTGGCGGCAGCCATCACTTCCGCTAGAGCGTCAGCCACGAGACACCTTTACGCGTTGAAGTGGAACCTCTTCGTCAGCTGGTGCTCTTCTCGCGAAGAAGACCCCCGGAGATGTTCGATCGGTGTCGTGCTTTCGTTCCTGCAAGAAGGGTTGGAGCGCAGGCTGTCGCCCTCCACCCTTAAGGTTTACGTCGCAGTCATTGCCGCCTCTCATGAAGCAGTAGAAGGTAAGTCCTTAGGGAAGCACGACCTGGTCATCAGGTTCCTGAGGGGAGCGAGGAGGCTACATCCGCCTCGTCCTCCCCTCGTACCCTCTTGGGACCTCTCAGTAGTTCTAAGTGCTCTGCAGAGGCCTCCCTTTGAGCCTTTGCAATCGGTAGAGTTAAAGTTTCTGTCCATGAAGACAGCACTCCTGGTTGCACTGGCCTCCATCAAGAGGGTGGGGGACCTGCACGCATTCTCCGTTGACGAAGCGTGCCTGGAGTTCGGGCCGGCTTACTCTCACGTGATCTTGAGACCCCGGCCTGGATACGTGCCCAAGGTTCCCACCACTCCCTTCCGGGACCAGGTGGTGAACCTGCAAGCGCTGCCCCTGGAGGAGGCAGACCCAGCCTTGGCACTGCTCTGTCCGGTACGTGCTCTCCGCACCTACGTTGACAGAACGCGGTGTTTCAGGACCTCAGACCAGCTCTTTGTCTGTCATGGGGGGAGCCAGAAGGGAAAGCAA